ATAGATTCAACATTTCTGCAGTTTTGGACTACAATAAGAACCTTAGTATGCTAAATTAGTTAAGACCGGAAAGTTATAAACATATCTTGTGTTGAATACTGAAGCGATCTTGATCAAAATCTGGATCTTGGTCCTATGGCTGAGCTGCTTTGCAAAACCGATAGTAATGTGTGTGATTTATTTTCCATTCAAGCCCCAAGGAACTCTTTCTGCAATAAAATGAAATTGATTGCAATTGTTGTTACCAAGCACATACATTAGTGCGATTGGTGAAATTGATAGGGTATTTTTTTTTTAAAACATGATTTGATTTTGTTTTCTTTAAATGCTGATCAGTAGATTAATTTGTGGACAAACAGAGAACCCTTGGTCAAATTTTTTAGAATCGAAATTAATCATGAATATAGCAAAAGCTCATTTCACAAAATATTTAGTCTCTCAACTTAAGCAGGTAGAATTAATGAAATGGTGGCAAGCACCAAATGGTAGAATTGTGGATGAAGTGGAGATTCTAAATTCTTGCATCTAGCGAACCCGGATGATGATGACGATAAGGCGATGGCATATGGTGGTGGCGTTTAAATCCTTCTTAAACTGAAAAAAATCAAATTGAAAGTCGGTTTTGCAAATAAGATTACCACGCGGACGTCACGTACAATGATTCTGTGTTTACGTCTTCTGTCTTTACCCATCACGTGTCAAATGCTTCTGTGTTTTACGTCACGTCTTCTGTGTCAAATGAGTACACAGTACAATGTGTAGTGTTCCACGATCTCTACTTAATAATATTAAAATGTTTATAAGCATTTTACATATATTTGGGATTTACGATATTCATTCTGAATTACCATATATTGACCAAATTGTCTTTAAACTTTAAGACACAAATCCTCGTGTAGAATGCAATACTAGTATACAACGTTTCATTCTGAATTTACCATATATTGACCAAATTGTCTTTAAACTTTAAGACACAAATCCTCGTGTAGAATACAACATTTTGTCTTTTTTTTTTTTTTGCTACCAATTGTGCGTGACAACATCGTTATCAACTATGACAATGCCGGATTATGCATTTATGCTGATACGTACATATCTTCACATGATAAAACAAATCATTCTCTCTTTTCGCACTAAGTGTTTTGTTTCTCGGACCAACATTTTTCACTCGTGAATTTTTTCACTCAAAAAAGGACAATAATGCATATTGGAGCAACTTATATTCTATCACTTTATTACCTTTAGTCATGGAGATGGGAAAACGTGCGTACGAATTTATCATTAAACTTCTTTCGTATAAATTTTGTTTTAATACGTTTCACACATTTAAGATATTTTTAAAATCCATTATAAGTTGAAGGTTAAAAAGTACCTCTTCGATCGTCGTTAGTCTATAATTTTGGACAAGTGTGGACAAAAAACTTGAACCGAATGAAACCGAACTAACCTCAATAGACCTAAAACCGATCCAAATGGTTCTTACTTTCAAAATTTCTGGTACTGGTTCAGTTCGAGTATTTCCCAAACTTAAATCGAATTTCATTGAACATGAAACTGGAAATTCGGATGTTAAAAAAAGAAGCAATGACAAACTTTGAAACAGCACTGGTGTGATGGGAGCATTGACGTGGCTGTCCTCCCTAAGTAGTGTCAGAGTTTAGAGAAGTTTTCACTCCAATTCCACGTTGACACCCAGATATTTATGGGTGTTATAAATTCTTTATAATTTACACCGACTTCCATCACAATCTCTCGGTCTCTTATCTTTTTCCATTGTCTCCTTCTAAATCATGGGAGGGGTAGAAGAAGAAATAGTAGTGGAGTGCTACCCGTTGAGGGTTTATACTCGAAATGATTTCTATATGAACAGACCTTCTTTGTCAATGAGAGGAAAAGAGTTTTTTAGACATATCTACCATCCAATCGAAGGACCACATGTGTTGGTGAACCAGACGGTAGTGCAGGAACATACATATGAATGCAATGTCCCTTTACCGGCGAGTGCTATGCGTAGCATAGAGCATCTTCAACAAAGCATTGCTGCAGCGGAACCTCCGGTGAATGAACGAATCATAAACCCTCAATTTATGCATCTTAATGAGACTTGGGAGGAAGTTGTTCATGTCCTCTCTCAACATGTCAATAACACTGGAGCGTTAACGGGACGAGACCCGTTCATGGTGGAAGCTGAAGACGCTTTTGGCACAATATACCTCATAAGAGAGGAAAATGGGTGGAGGAGTGGAGACTGGCGCCAATACCAACCTCCGCAGGATGAGGAAACAAATTGTAACATTTGTGGAGACGATATCACTCAAGCTCCAGGGGATGTCTTTTTGGGCTCCATAGATGCGCTCACATATTCCACCAAGCATGCCTTTTGAACCACATATGGCTCAACCAGGATGAACCTAGATGTCCTACATGCATGCAACGTTTATTTTGAGTAGGATCAAGGCCACCACCACCAGTTCAATTAGAAAGGTAAGTTATCCCAATAATTAATTTTCTAAGTTTGGATGGTTGTGTTATGTAATATATTTCCAAATGGTGTAATATATTTCTAAGTGATGTGTGCTACATTTCCAAGTATTTGGATATTAAATCTTTTTTTTTTCCAACAAGTGTTGGAAGTTATTTCTAACAATTTGTTTTTATGTATGTTTGAGAACTTTTCAATAAATTATTTAATATTATGGTTATAGATGTCATGTGTTTGTGTTATAATATTTATAACGATCATATGTTCGTTCTAAGATTGCGGGAAAACGTTATCCATTTCTCTTCCCAAACTCTTAGACTGTGCCCCATTTCCAACGAGATCCATCGGAAGAAAGCAAGTCCCTTCCTTCCAATAAAGTAAAACTTGTCCAAATGCTACGTTTGAGTTCTGGAAAAGTTCCTTTGCTGAAAGAACGTAGGTGCATTCTGCAGTATAAGCTTTTGCCTTAAATATCAAACATTAGGTTCCTAGAATCATCCATTTTACCTCTACAAAATAACAGAGCAAGATTCTAGTTCCTAAATGTAATAAATAATTCAGACCTATCTTAAGTCTTAACTTGTTTATCTATTGTTTGCTCTGAGTTAGTTAAAACAGAGCCATGATCTATCTGGTCTTGTGGATATTGACTTTCAAAGCCTGAGCAAGGAGTATATTCTTTCATTTTCTTTCATTTTAGTCATTGTCTTGATTAGCTGTGAATTCTTTCATTTTCAAAAATTTGCTTGAACCCTCTTCTTTAAGAACAACCAAGTACTGTAGTTTTCCTCTGAATCCATGATGATAAATGAGTTCACACAGTTACACATAGTGATTTTGATTCAACAGAAGAAATGTTTTATAACTTTCCGGTCTTAACTAATCCTGCATACTAAGGTTCTTATTGTAGAAATCACCAATCAAGATTCACCAATTGCTATTATTATTACAAATAGAAATGTCGTATGACCATCTCACTACTAATTCATCTTCATTACAACAAAATAACAAAACTGCTTGCACCATGATCCATAAAATCCGAAATGCAAAGGGAAACCTAAGTAATGACTTGAAGATCTCCGGATCCGAGTAAAGCGACATACTGCTTTGCAGACACACTTGTTCTCGATGTCAACTCGTCCACCATCCCACATCATTGTCTGAATGTGCACGAGGTTGGAACAAGCACAATGGTAGACATTGACGACGTGGTAGTTCTTCCATTTGCGATATTGAAGATATTTTAAGTACCGAATTTTAGGAAAATCAAATCATTTTAAATCATCAACTAGATTGGATACACTCCTCTAAAATATTTTAATTCTTTTTTTTTTTTTGACAAAAAGTATTTTAATTAAAATCTTATTACTTCCCAAAATCATCTTAAAAACTCGTTTAA